TTCCTTCCTTCCTTCCTTCCTTCCTTCCTTCCTTCCTTCCTTCCTTCCTTCCTTCCTTTTCTTCTTTTTCCTTCCCTCCTCATCCTCCTTTCTTCTTCCTTCCCCTCTTTCCTTATTTTCCCTTCCTTGCTCTCTTCCCATCTTCCCTTCTTATTCTTTTGTTGTTTCCTCTTTCCCTTTCTCCATGCCTGTCCCCCTTTCTTGCGTGCTCAAAATGCAAAAGGGGAAACGCTTCTCCTTTTTGTTTCTTTTTCCGTTGGTTTTGCCGCCATGCACGGCCTCCCCGAGCTCTGTTTTCACTGTAAGCTGGTCCTTTGCTGTTTCCAGGCCAGATTTAAGCACCTTCAGTTTGACATCCCTGCCATGCATGATGTTCTGGGTGTCAGGACTCCAACAAATCCACCCCCATTCAAATCATAGGTCTCTAGCCGCATCTCAGAGAAAAGAAAAAACGATTTATTGGAAGTGGCCATGTTGGTGTTAGCTGGATGCAACTGATACTAAAATACAGCATTCATTTCCCCCTTGACGCTAGATATATATTCCCCCTTGATGCTGGATATATATTCTCCAATGGGATACATCCCTAGCCAAGAGTCATCAATCATGGTCTCTAGTAATATTCTTGCGCTCTGACAACTTTGGGCTGCCAGGGTGATTTTCTAGGCACTTAAGGAATGCACTATTTCCCCCCCTTTCTCTGGCAGCTAAAAAGACCAAAGGAGTATCTTTTTAGTTGACACTGGGTGCAAGCAATGTTCCATTTCTACTCTGAAGATGCAAGAGGTGAGTAACACTGGACGAGAGTTGATGGCGAGCCAAAACAGGCCAAGCACCCCAGCGCAGGTGTTGCCTTCAAAGCTGTCGCTGCTCTTCCCTTTGCCTCTCGTTCAAGCCAGTAGAGCTATGGGGAGCTGTTTGCCCAGGCCCGTTTCCCCTCGGCTTGCATCGTCATTGCTCCCCCCGCCCTTCCCTTCACCACCTTTGGAAGCCCGCACAGGTTCTAAATAATCAGAAAATGCAGGATCCCTGTCGGCATCTCTCTAAAGATGTGCAGCCAGGATAATTTAACCTGTCAGCACCATCCATCACCGGGATGCATGCGGCAGCCAAATGAAAGCACACAGGGAACAGACTCTGGAGGCCTTTGTCGTTCCAGGCTGGGCCTGTCCAGAAGAGAAACAGCTCCTTCCGCCAGGGCATCCGTGGTGTCGCATGCATACGTTGGCACTCTGACCCATCACTCACTAACCAGCCCGTGACCTCAGCCGTAACTGATCAATTATCTTAATCAAGTAGAAATTAATGCACCTTCCTGCCCGTGACTATTTATGAGTTGAGTGCTCCTTGGCTAAATGAAATCTTGGAGAGAGAGAGAGAGAGGGAGGGAGGGAGGGAGGGAGGGAGGGAGATTTCTAGATAGATAGATAGATAGATAGATAGATAGATAGATAGATAGATAGATAGATAGATGATAGATAGATAATAGATAGATAGATAGATAGATAGATAGATAGATAGATAGATAGATAGATAGATAGATAGATAGATAGATAGAAAAGCTCCTCAGACTATATATGTGATGACCCGGGGCATGGCACAGAGATAACACAAGCAATTGGCAGCTCAAACCACCCTGTTACTGCTCCAGATTTCCCCAAACATTCTCCTGAACCCCTGCAAACCCCCAGCAACCCACCCCTGTATCTATCTATCTGTCTATATTGTCTATTTATCTATCTTATTTATTTATCTATCTTATCTATTTATCTACCTAATCTAATCATCTATCTTATCTATCTATCTATCTATCTATCTATCTATCTATCTATCTATCTAT